TAGGGTTACCTGTAATTACCACAATGCGGAACCTTACAAGGTTCCATCCCATTAGAAGAAAATTTGGGCCCCAAATTAGGCTACAAGAGTCACAAGACCCTGTGGCCGGGTCTACCTTTTTTTTTTTTTTTTTTAATGTATGTTTTTAATAATCGTGTTCGATAGAATTAAAAACTCTCCTATAAGATCATGTTTAGTATATGGTATTAGACTATAAAGAATTTAATGTATTGAATCTCTATATTAGATGGATAGTATCGTGGTGGATTATGGTAGATAATATTCTATTATTTTTTAGTCAAACGTTTGCAATATCAACCAAAAATGATATACTTACACAATAAAAACTATCTACTCTCTTTATTCGCTGCTTCCTTAACGAAAATCCATTCTCGAAGAAAATTATCTTAAATTGAGATTGTCAATTCAATTGGTTTGAATAATTCCTACTAAACTGTAAGTTAAAATCAATGTTATTTTTCGATTTAATTGCTACTTTGTAAGTTGAAACCCTCTCAAGGAACCCTTTAACTGTATCTTCGTTATGCAGCATTGAAAAATGTGCACCTGTTAACTTTCGAAGTCTATAATTTCTAACTTGTGAAAAATCTAACATGCACGTGAAGTGATGTGTTGAAGACATAATTTAAATAGATAATTTTTTCACTCTCTTTAATAAAAAAGTTATGTCCTCTCTAACATTTAAGCTCTTATAAGTGGTAGTTTGACAAGTATATTGTGAATTAATTAGAAAAGAAAAAACAAAAATTGGAACTATAAGCTCCTTGGAGAATAAGACCGAGTCAAAGTATAAAATCTTGACATAACATTCTTGTATTTCAAATCTGAAGTAGGTATCCTCTAATCACTTGGAGACAACACATCTAAATCAAAATTTGTCCTCAACTATGTAATAACCAAGTGCACTTGTATTGTGCTCTAATTTTGACTCTGATTTTGATCCTTTGTAGATGGTTTCAAATTAAAATGTATATTCCTAATTATTACTTAGGGCGTGTTCGGTATAGATTAAAATTGGATTAAAATTGAAAAACTAGCCGTTATTGTTGACTTTTATTAGACGAGTGGGACTCAATAACGGCCATATTTTCAATTTTAATTGGCTTTTAATCCCTCCCGAACGGGGCCTAAATTTGTTTTTATCATTACAAAACTGAGTTTTTGATCTTTCTAATTTATCTACAGGATACGGTCCTGAATGTCATCAACTNTAATCCTGGGCAAACATGCTCTTAGTTTTTAATCCTAGTGGGAAAAAAATTATTTGTGACCCTAACATCTGTTGCAAACACGGGTAAATAAAGATGCGTTTGGTTTGCTATTTTCAATCTGCTTTCAATTTTACAAAACACTAAAAACGTGTTTTGTTTGATATTTTTGAAAACAAGGTTAAATTTATAATAGAAACTCAAAACGTATTTTCTATTTGCAATTGGATTGATAAGTCAACAAATCGACAATTTGTCGCTTACCGCAAGTGCAAACCATCTATGGTTGCATTTAATGCAAGAATTTTGTCATATTCTTATTTTATCATAAAGTATCGACGAAACATTTAATCAACGTATTGAAATTATGATAATATCTAATTTTTTTCCCACTTTAATTTTCATTTTGATTATTGGGAAAAATTCCAATAAATACCTTCACATTTATTCAAAAGAATCTACTATTTTTATAGAAAATTGTTAAACATAAGTACATGAAAATTGTAAGAAATAAACAATAGAAAGTTATCAAAGCGGGATAGATGAAACATATATAAGAGGACATTAAGAATTTCCAACTACTTTGAACTGCACCTATTGAAGCCAAGTCCCCCCTTTTCTTTTTGTCTCAAATATTTTATATAAAATAGTAAAATACACATTAAGTGGTCAAAGCTCCGATGCCACGTGTATTCAATTCTCGAAAATGATATTTATGGTTAAATCTCGAAACATGACATAATCACGTGCTAATCAAATTTCCAATCCGATTATAACTAAGAATCGAATGCTAAAAGCATGAGTTATGCTATTCGTACAAATTCATTTGTACAGAATTTGTACAGACTAAGACACATGAGTATTTTTTGACAATATTTTACTCACATGGGGCCCACACCCCATGTGAGTATTCTGTTCAAATGCTGTACAAACCAGTCTGTACGAATGGTTTAATTCTAAAAGAAATATTGATCTAAATATTATTTCTCAAGCCAACTTCCATTGGATCATGTAATTCAAATTCAAGGTGGAAACACGTCGAATTGATTATAAAAGAATGAGAAATGCTATTCATCCCCACTGGGGATGCATCCCCAGTTTATGTGGCGTTAATGTGGCATTAAATGATATGTGTTATTTAATTTCACCTATCATTTAACCAATTATTTACTTCCACATAGACTGGGGATGCATCCCCACTGGGATGAATAGCATTTTTCTAAAATAATACATATATAATGTATATAAGCAATTATGACATCAAATATTTGGATATTTCTTGGAAAAAACTAAACATAACCCTTGTGCATAGCGCATCCTACCCTAGCGTTGGTGTAATAAAGAGGTACCAAATTGATTTTATTTGTTTGTATAGAAAAACGAAAATGATAAAATAAGTCGCACTCACGTGGAACTTGTGTATAGTTAGAGTAACTATTTGAAAGAAGAAGAAGAAGAAGAAAAAAAAAAGTTGATTAAATAAGCAGAAAACAATATAGTCAAGATCTTGATTTTAATTTCCATTTTATACTTCATGACCAAGTAATGTTTTGAGGCTATGGGATTTGGATCTATCATAGATTTATCATATATCTGAGCATGGTTTTGCAAATGCTGCATTACCTATTTTAAAACTTTCATTTTGTTTCCATTTTGTGATTAATTTTTGAGTCTTTTCTTGACTATAAAATATTATTTCAATTTATTATTTCTTGCATAGCATGTTTGACTTTTTTTCAATTGAAAATATTAGTTTTTTTTTTTTGTAGTTTATTAATGGATTTATACGAGCCGTCCTTGACACCAATAGTCACGAGAAAAGTTCAATAAACTTTAACTACCAAGAGACCTAACGCGAACTTAAACTAGTTTGTTCTTCCAAAAGAGTTGCACCCCATCCGTGGAGCTCGATTGGTCAGCCATCGTCGAACAACTTAGGCTCATTTTAGAAAGTCAAATCATGAAAAAGAATTTATGATAATTCATTTTGAAAAAGGTAAATAAATAATGTCAAAATTATTCAATATCTGCAAGGGTAGATATCACACGATCATGTTACGTAATGTCAGCAATATTGTTAAATTATTAATTTATGCTAAATAGCCAGAAATGTGAATCGTATATAAAAAGAAATATGCATGTGCTATTATGATTATTTAGTCGCAAGTTTGTATTTGTTGTCATTTTTTGCTTATTTAAAAATATGAAGAAAAATAAATCTTTCGACTCTTTCTTAATAAATATATACATAAGAACCGTTACATATCTGATATCACCACCCCGTTATTTTGTAATTCAAGTGACAATATGAATGGGATACAGTAATATGATCCCTTAAATTACATTCATTATTTTTAGGATTTGGGACGTTCTTTAGGTGAAACAAAAGAAAATATTCATAATGCATTTATGAAACATTCATGAGTTTTTACTTACAAGAAGAAGCAGAAGTTAGAAAGATTTCAATTATGGGTTCACGAGCAACATGTTTTTTTGTCTTGTAATATCTTCTTAGAATTCAAATGACTGCAAGAATTCATCATCCTTACACCTTCTCCTCCATAGAGGGTGGTGGGGGTAGGTGGGGTGGGCGAGAGCGAGAGAGAGAGAGAGAGAGAGATATGAATGCATTTATGGGTTCTCAACCAAGTCTTGATCTAGGTTCACCCATAGGACCATTCTTCTCTCTCTCGCACATACACACAATGACAGTGGGGTCTCTGATCTGACTGCAAGAGATGTATAAATGTAGCAAAGGCTAAGAGTTGAACACAGCCCTACTCTATCATTGGTGCATCAATATCTTTGTTAAGTTCTAAGCACCAGAATATTAATTACAATTTATTCTTATAAATAAATTGTTTTACAGAAGAAAAGACATATTTTTTGTTGAGAAATTAAGTGGAAGAAGGTGAAATGGAATTCCAGAAACTCCTCTTTTTCTGCTTAATTTTCTCTCCTTTCACCAAAATTATTGCACTCTCAAAAGAACAAGAGTTGGATCGTATTTCAACTCTTCCAGGGCAGCCTCCGGTCACATTTTCGCAGTTTTCTGGCTATGTTACCGTCAACAAAAATCACGGCCGAGCACTGTTTTATTGGCTTACTGAGGCTACCAGTAAACCGGAGAATAAGCCTCTTCTTCTTTGGCTCAATGGAGGTTAGTTTTCCGCCCCGGATATATTCTCGATTAATTTAAATGAACTATACAGAACATTTTTTGTTCTTCTGTATAACTAAACAAGATTAAAGAAGACAAACATGTGAAATTCTATCCCACGTCTTCTTTAATACAATTGAGTCGAGTGTACCAAACATTCGAGCCATTTCATTATAGTAATTACTTCTTTTTAGTTGTGCATTATTGTATTCCACAATCGTAAGCAAATTACTAAACCCTAAACTGCATCCAGTTGCATTCCACCTGTCACCTCCTCCCATCTACCACCTGCGCACATTAGCAGATCTCGAGTGTCTAGTGCTAAAATGCACTAGTGTCACCTTCAGTACACAGAAGAGGCTAAACATTTCTGTTTGTATTTTGTACTCGTGATCACTCTGTGTTTGTGTATTTTAGTGCTGTGTATTCTTTTTTCGTCTACTTCTAAACTAGAAATTCTTTCACTTGCAAGTGCACAAAATTGCTCAGAAGAAGTGACTGTCTGTTCCTTAGGGAATGAAATAAGTTTCTGTAGTTATTCACAACTAGTGAAGTCAGGTAACTTTCTGTGACTTGTGTCTGTGAGGCCAGACAATCCTTTGCCGTCCCTATAAATTAAGAAAAAAATGTTAACCATCTCATCTAAAATTTTGAAGTGATTATATGATCACCTCACGTCACTCCTTACTGTCTCTATTCATTAGTAAGCTAATATAGAAATTACATCGCTCGTCTTACTTTTTATGTATAAAATCAAATGCGTCATCGACATACTAATAACTCATTTTTGAAAATTTGAATGAAAATGAAAATAAAATTTAGTCTTTGAAGTGCTAGAATTTGTACATACAAGGTAAAAGGGACAAAACTTGATAAATGCACGCGTGTTCAGAAAATAAGAGGGGAACAGTGATGATGTGAACTACATGTCTGAACAAAACCGAACAAGAATTTAATGAAAACAATTTATTTGTCGAGTTTTTTAAGTTTTGGAAAAATATATATTGGCTGTCTTGTGCATTAATAATTAAAGATGACTACTCAAAACAATAAAAAAAATTGTGTAACAGTAATGTATATTGGGTAGTTGAGACATGGCAGACTCTTAATAACATAAACTCCTAAAAGAAAAGAGTAAATTTATTATGAAAGTTTGTCTACTCGTTTGGACATGGTAATGCGCAAGATTTTAACTTTTACTATTTTTAATATTGTTTTTTTGCATAGTGAGCATCCTGTAAGAACTAAAGACCATAAACAAGAGTTTTAACTTATTTTTGTTGATATCATCATTTCTATTGAATATAAATAAATAATCCGCAATGCTACTCGTACAGGATTTTTTTCATAGCCATAGAATTCCACTTGGCCCAGTCTGATTGGCAGTTGACAAAAAAAAGTCCACGAATCAAGTGCTGCCAATGCGACACTTGTAAAGAATCTGTAAAAAAAACCTGCACACTTAGCTTTTTCATAAATAATAGTAGATAGTCGAAGAAACGAGTTTTAATTATTTTTTAATATTGTCATCCTCTTTCCTAATCATCCTATAAACAATATTGGATAATGTATAGGGTTTGTTTGATAGTACTTTTGAAATATAAAAAATTCCTTCCAAGTCTAAAAAGTTATTTTTGAATAATTTTAAATAATTTTCTATAAATATTTTATTTGGCTAGAAGAACAAATCGAGGAAGCTGGCATAAGATAGTGTTCTTATGAAACTATTTTACAAAAAGTAGAAGTAAAAATAGAAACTCTTCCAAATGGATCCATAATTTTTAATTTCTTTTCCATTTTTTGCATGGTTTTTTGGAGTAAACTTGCAAAACCCACGTAATGACTGTACATCTTTATCCATTAATTAATAGTTTAATACACACACAACTTACATCCTACTTGTATTGACCAGTCTACCATCATTTATTTCAACCCGTGGGTGCATCAATGTTATTAAACACATACATGTTTATTA